TTTGTTTTTATTTCATTTTTTATATGTATGCATTACACTGAAAGATATTTTTAAAATAAAGATTGTCTAAACAGATTAGAAATGCAAACAAACCATATCAAACAGCATGGATACTGGTAAACACAAGAATACATCGGCCACTTGTCCCCTGGACCCTGCCCCTTTCCATCACATGTCATCCCGGCACCTGGAAAAGGTAGTCGCTGAAATGAGCCTTAGGCCCTGCAGGTCAGTCCAAGCTCTAGGACCCTCAGCTTCTGTCCTCCTTCATCTCACACTCTGGTTTGCTCAAGTGTCTTCTTGACCTTTGAACATTTAGTATTGTCTCCCATTTTTGTCCTCCCTCTGACTTGAGAACATAATTTGGTTTCTACAGTTTTGAGAAAGGTAAAAACTAAGTGGCTCACGCCTGTAATCCCAGCACTTTGGGGCCGAGGTGGGTGGATCACTTGAGGTCAGGAGTTTGAGACCAGCCTGGCCAACATGGTGAAACCCTGTCTCTACTAAAAATACAAAAATTATCTACAGGCACCCACCACCACACCCAACTAGTTTTTGTATTTTTTTTTTTTTGTAGAGATGGCATTTTGCCATGTTACCCAGGCTGGTTTCGAACTCCCAAGCTCAAGCAATCTGCCTGCCTTGGCCTCTCAAGGGATTAATCCCAAAGTGCTGGGATTACAGGCATGAGCCACTGTGCATGGCCTTGTTTTGTTTGTGAGTATCTCACTCTGTCACCCAGGCTGGAGTGCAGCTGGCATGATCATTGCTCACTGCAGCCTTGAACTCCTGGCTTCAAGTGATCCTCTGTCTTTGACCTCCCAAAGTGCTGGAGCTGTAGGCACATGCCTGCCCCCATGCTTGGCTTTGGCTTCTACAGTTTTGACCTTAGGCATGTCCCAGGAACTGGCTTGCATATACATTGTAGCTTCAGTAGGAAACCCACGCTGCTTGACAGAACCTGGTATCCAGAACAATTCCATGGCATCAAACCACCAGAACAGGACATTGTCCCCTCAAAGAGACTTGAACACACCTGCACAAAATGTCTTATGCATGGGATGCTGTGCTGCGCCACCCAGACACCGCCTTCAGGGCAGAGACACCCCTTCTTCCAGCTGACACGAGAAGTAGCTGCCATAGGCTCACAGCTCATGACCTAGTCAAGCCGCTTTGTCCAAGCATCCCCCACCCTGGGGATCTCACATTCAACGACTGGTCAATGGGTACAGCTCCCTTGTCTATCTGGGGGGACTCTGGAGAGCCCTCAGTGCGAGCTGCCTGTGGGGTGGGCAGAGTCTCTTCTGGAAATTGCATCACCATCTAGCCTCTTCCTCTGATTGAACCTACTTGTCTCCCTGCCTTGCAGTGTTTGTCCCCAGATCCGCTCCTGATAAACTTTTCCATGCAAATGTTCGTCTAAGAGTCTTTTTCCTGGGGAGCTTGACCTAGTATCATGGTTGCTAATGGTCCAGGAAAATGGGCTGTAAAGAGGATTTTAGGGCTAGACCACCCTCCAGGTGGCTGGCCCTGAGCATCCCATCGCTGGTGGAAAGGTGGTGTTCTGAAAGCCCCTGGCATGCTATGGCTGATATGTGCTTGTTAAAATCTCACTGGCTGTGAATCAGGATGAAATACAGGTGGAAAGGAATGTTCTGGTTCATGCACTTGACTGAGGAACAGGGAGGAGTAATTATAAATATTACAGGATAGACGGCTATTGTCGGATGCTATGGTTGCATTTGAAAAAGGCAAGGAAGGCTGAGGGTGGTAATCACCAATTGAAAGCAAAGTATCAGAGTCAGAGGCCCTTGTTAGCATATGAAGGATCTCATTTCCTACAACCTAAGGGCAGGTAGAGCTGAGGGTCATGCTCAGGGCCTGATTATCAGGGCAGCAGAGCTCCAGGGCAGGTTGAATTCTCAAGCCTGCCTGGTCTGCTATCCAGGGAAGGAGGCAGGCTCTGACATTTGGGATGGGGATATCTGGGTAGAGACACGCTGGAGACCAGGAAGGCCCAGGTCCACAGGAATCCTCTGAACCTACAGAAATGGCCCGCTGCTCCCCAAGAAGACTCGCTCTCCTTCTCTGCTTTGCAAGGCAACACGTGCCCTCCCTCAGGACCTTCCCCCCAGTACCCTCCTGGCCACCAGATCAATAAGTAGGGTCACATTACAACTTAGCCTGTGTGGGAAAGTCCTACCCTGCTAAGAGAAGAAGGAGAGTGTTCCCAAAGGAGCTGCAGAATCAGCCATCTTGAACCAGCAGGCACCCAGGGCACACATATGGGACTGAGTCCAGAGGATACGGATTAAGGGAGGGGGAATGTAAAGTTGGATTTGGGAGCATTTATTACAACAGAAATACTCCCCCAGGACACTCTGGCCAAGATCCTGGGTGCAAAACAGAGATTCATTGAATAAGTAGCACTTTACGAATGAAATATTTGATTATGCCAATTAAAAGTATCAAATATATGAAGAGAAGAAGGCAAAGTAGGGAAAATGGTGGATTAGGACACCTGAAAAGGGAATAAAACTGTTTTAATTTACTTTACCACAACTGAGTTGCCAGAGTCTACAACCAGAGTGAGAACTTTCTCAATGCCTTTTAGCCAATCAAATGATGTTATTTCCAGGCCCACCTGGAAGGACTGGTGCTCTTTCCAGCACACACTTCCCCATTCTGAGCCCATGAAAACCCCAGACTCAGCCACATGTTGGGACTACCCACCTTTGAGCCCCCTCTCACACAGAGGGCTACCCATTTCAGATCCCTTCTTATGTCAAGAGCTGTTCTGTTGCTCGATAAAACCCTCCTCTGCCTTGCTCACTCTCCAGTGTCTGTGTAACCTCATTCTTCTTGGACACAGGACAAGGACCTGGGACCCACCAAATGGCAGGTGCAAAAGGAGCTGGAACACTATAGCCTTCCCACCTTCCATCAGTGCCAGGTGGCCACCCCACATGATGGGAAGTGGTGGTGGGGCTGGGACAGCCCAGGAGCAGTGGAGTGGAGCAGGTGGGACAGAATGAGCTGTAGCACAGATGAACTGCAACACACCCCTTGCACTGTTCACCACAACAAAACGAGCCATAACACACCCCCCTCCCTGACCCCATTCGCCATGCTGCAGGTGGCAGGAAGGAGAGAGAGAGCTGTAACAGTCCTTGGGGGCTCAGACCTTGGGACTCCCCAGGTGAGAGCCATAACACCCCTTGGGGCTCTGTGGTTGTTGGCATCTCTGAGTTTTCAGGCACCACCACGTTCCGCCTCGTCCAGATGCTGGTGCCCAAGGTGGAAGACGGTTGTGACACACCCAGACCAGCCATGGACTAAGCACAGAGCAGTTGCATGTGCGGAATCTCGGTCGGTAGTGCCAGCCGAGCACAGCCTGCTGGGTCGAGTGGGCAGAGTGAGCCCAGAGGTGAGCCCAGAGCCAAGCAAGGCCCAGGAGGGGTGCTGCCAGCTGGGAAATTTCCGGCAGGCAAAGTGGCACTGAAAGAATCCTGTGTCAATAGGATTATTACTGAAAAATAAATTATTCTCTAGAAAGATTCTAATATATCAGGAAAACTTGGGGGGAATTCTATTTAGATGTGAACACTTATGAACATATCCCCAACCTCCTTAATTTTCTTATGTTACTAATATGAGTTCTTATATTATATTTTCTCTGGGACAAGCACCTCACCTCCCAGCCTACCCCCTACACTCCCACAAAACACAGAAAACCCCTCCTACCGAGAGATCGATGTAAGAAGTGTGTGATTGGCCTTTGGACTTTGTGTCTTCAGAAGACAACCATGTTTAGTTATCTTCTTCAGTAAAAGATGCTGAATTCAATGCTAGAAAAGCACAGAATTTGTAAAATACATTTCAATGAGAATTCATATGTACAGCAAATAAAATTTTAAGTGCATTAAAGAGACTTAGCAGATGATTTAAAAAATCCTGTAGAGAAAAGGATGCAGCTAGTAGTCACCAACACGCCCCTGCCACACCCCAAAACCCTAGCCTAAATATGCATTTACAATCATTGAGTTTCTTTATTTTTTTCTCTTTTTTTTTTTTTTTTGAGACAGTGTTTTGCTCAGTTGCCCAGGTTGGAGTGCAGTGGCTCAATTACAGCTCACTGTAGCCTCAACCTCCCAGGCTCAAATGATCCTCATTTCAGCCTCCAACTGGTACTAGAGGTGAGTGCCACCATGCCTAATTTGTTTTTGTTTTTGTTTTTTAATAGAGATGAGGTCTTGCTATGTTGCCCAGGCTGGTCTCAAACTCTTGAGCTCAAGTGATCGTTCTGCCATGGCCCCCAAAGTGCTGGGATTACAGGCGTGAGCCGCCGTGCCTGGCCAAGTTTTAAAAAAAATATGAATCTGTTGAGTCAGGAAAACATGAACATGCTTTAGATAATATCACAACTTATTTTTCTGTAAACAATCAACACTTTTTTCTTTTTTTTTTTTCCCTCGAGACAAGAGTCTCACTCTTTCCTCCAAGCTGATCTCGGACTCTTGGACTTACACGGTCCTCCCACCTTAGCCTCCCGGGAGCTGGGATTACAGATGCCAGCCGCCGTGCCCAGTTTATAATCAGCATTTTTAAACCCCTGGTTTTCCTAGGACCATCTTAATACTGATCTCCATATAAGATCTAGGACTTTATGACACTGCTAAGAGCCTTTTCTCCCTTTTTTTTTTCAAATAAGTAATACGTTCACTGTATAAACATTAACAGCATAAAGACGCATATAATGAAAACTTTCCCTATTTTTCATGAACTAAAGCCATTACAACGCCCAGTCCACGTTTAGGGTGGTGTAACCAGCTTGGAGGCTACTCCTCCTTTAAAAAATAAATCTTCTTAATCCTAATCCCCAGAGCTATCATCTTCTTCAAGACGCAGGGATTTGATGTACTGCTTCCGCTGATTCAAAGTGAAAGACATTCCCCCCATCTTTGTTCCCACTTCTAGCACATGGAGCTCACTTCACCTACCCTTGAGAGAATTGCATTGACTGCTTTGCAACTGATGTATTTTCCAAGCAGAGTCATAGGTGAATGAGGCAGAGGTCTGTGCTGAATGAACTGAGAGATGTAAAATTTTTTTTGGTTAGCAGGCTTTATGGTGGCTGGGTTCCAAGCAGATGCCTGGTTGTGCTGGGTTGCTGGGTCACACATTAGTACTCAAAGGGCAGTACAGCCACCTCACAAAGACTGATGACATCACACAGGGCGTCACAGCCCCCCAGGGGCCCCTGCCTGTCAGCTCCAACCAGCAGGTGGAATCCAGGAGTTCCAAGGGCCAAGGTCCAAGGTCCTTACCCCTCAGCTGAGAATATAGGGAAAGCCTCATATTAGGTGAGGTTAGAATCCAGGGTGACTCTTTTCTTTAGGCAAGGCCTAATTTTTAGCTTTTTTGTTGTTGTTGTTGTTGTTGTTGTTTTGAGATGGAGTCTCACTCTGTCACCCAGGTTGGAGTGCAGTGGCGCAATCTCCGCTCATTGCAAACTTCGCCTCCCGGGTTCATGCCATTCTCCTGCCTCAGCCTCCCGAGTAGCTGGGACTACAGGCACCCGCCACCACGCCCAGCCAATTTTTTTGTATTTTTAGTAGAGATGGGGTTTCACCGTGTTAGCCAGGATGATCTCGATCTCCCGACCTCGTGATTGGCCCGCCTTGGCCTCCCAAAGTGCTGGGATTACAGGCGTGAGCCACCACGCCTGGCGAATTTTTTAGCATTTTTGAAATAAACTTAAGAAAAAGAACAAGTTTTCAGAAAACATGAAGAAACTTACAGATGAGCCAAAGGGTTATTAAATTGCCTTATAATTCTTTACATTACTCAGCATTTAGATGTCAGTACATTAAGACATTTAGAACACAAATATTTCTAAATTTTTTTACAGTACGTAACATTTAGAACACAAGTTCAGCCAAACGCTTGTGAAATTTCTTCTGAACAAATCCCAGGGGACTTGACCCTCCCGGCTTGAGGATGCTGACTCTGTTTTGCCTGAAACCAGATAAGCTCTGCTTTAGGGTCTGTGAGTGGAAGGGGGATGGGTGGGGACCTCTTGCAACCTCTCCTGGGGCAGACACAATGGGTAATAGTGACCTCCTGGGGTAGATACTGAAACTACGTCAAGTGATAACAAAACTGGCAGAAATCAGCTGGACCCAAAATGGCCAACTGGAGTTTCTGTAGAAAGAGCTTGCTGATATCACAGCCTGAATTTCCACACATGTTTCTTATTAACTGCCCCAGAATTTAATTTGCATACAGCACCCACGAGGAGGCAGGAAGAGATAACTGCACATGTCTGAGGACTTGCCTGACCTCCTCTTTCCTTCCACCAATCTCTTGCTAGTCCCAGCAACTCCTGACCTTGTTATCCACTCCGCTCAGCCTCAGTGCTGAGATTACAGGCATGAGCCACCTCACCCAGCCTGGAACTTCGTTTTTCAATTGAGATACTACATATCATACAATTCACCTTTCATCCATGTTGTGGCATTTGTCAGTATTTCATTCCCTTTTATGGCTGAATAACGAGCTATTGCTTGAAAATACCACATTTTATTTATCTGTTCATCAACTGGTGAACATTTAGCTGGTTTCCACTTTGGGGGTGTTATAAATAGTACTGCTATGAATATTCCTGTACGCGTTTTTGTGCGGACATAATCCCTCTAACCATTTTCTAACAAAATCATTTCCTTAAAGACAGCACAGCGAGACAGATTTGAGCGGGACTCCGGTCTCCTTGTTGGTCAACTTGCAGTGAAAAGCTTTTCTTTTCTCTAAAACCCAGTGTCTTAGTATTGGCTTCTAGCGCACAGGTCAGTGACCTCTTTTGCTCAGTAACAACATGATGGGCCATAATGACCTCCTGGGGCAGACAGATGGGCATCAGTGACTTCCCAGCCAAACTCATGAGCCTCCTTTCTGCAGGCTCAATGGGAAGGTCCTTCTTGCCCATTAATAATATTAATATTAAAATAAGCTTTTATTCATAATAGCCCCAAACTGGAAACAACCCAAATATCCATCTGCAGTAGAATGGACCCACTGTGGCATATTCACAGAATGCAATGCAAACCAGCAGTGGAAAAGACCAGACTGCAGCTGCATACAACATGGATGCCTCTCGCAGACATGGTGTGAGACCGAAGCAGCCCATGGGAGAGCACGATTCTATTTCTGTGAAGTTTCTGCAGAACAAGAGCTTGCTGATGTCACAGCCCAAATTCTCACAGCATGTGGAAGAGAGCAAGAAAAGGCAAAGCCACTCTAAAGTGATAGAGCAGTTTATCTGTCTCTCAGTAACCAGTAGCTCTGTTTAGGGGCCAGAACAGGGTTGCTGGTTACTGAGAGGGGGCAAGAGAGAGGCTTTTAGAGTGCCAGAATGTTCTGTGTCTTCTTGATCTGGGGGAGTGAAGGCTTCCTGGAGCCTACTTGTACAAACGTGCATTGGGCTGGTCACTGAAAGTGTATATACTTCACTGTATGTATGTCATATCCTTAAAACACAAAGGAAAAAAAGTGAGTCAACACAACTTTTGGACAAATATTTTATTGCGGGAATTTTGCAACCATTAACATGGTCTGGTTGCTGTAATAAAGTAAAATCTTCCTTTCTGAGAAAGGTGCACATCTACCATGTTCAAGGACAATAGTTCAAATTGCGTTTATTTATATTCGTATTTATTTATTTGAGATAGAGGCTTGCTTTGGCCTCCCAATGTGTTGCAATTACAGGCATGATCCACTGTGCCTGAACATTTTTTTTTTGATACGGAGTCTCGCTCTGTTGCCCAGGCTGGAGTGCAATGGCAAGATCTCGGCTCACTGCAAACCCCACCTCTGGGTTCAAGCAATTCTCCTGCCTCAGCCTCCTGAGTAGCTGGGACTACAGGTGCATGCCACTGTGCTCAGCTAATTTTTGTATATTTAGTAGAGATGGTGTTTCACTATGTTGGCCAGGCTGGTCTCGAACTCCTGACCTTGTGATCCACTCCCCTCAGCCTCAGTGCTAAGATTATAGGCATGAGCCACCTCACCCGGCCTGGAACTTTATTTTTTAATTGAGATATTACATATCGCTCAATTCACCTTTCATCCATGTTGTGGCATTTGTTAGTATTTCATTCCCTTTTATGGCTGAATAACGAGCCATTGCTTGAAAATACCACATTTTATATATCTGTTCATCAACTGGTGAACATTTAGCTGGTTTCCACTTCGGGGGTGTTATAAATAGTACTGCTATGAATATTCCTGTACACGTTTTTGTGTGGACATAAGTTTTCAGTTCTCTTGAGTAGACACATAGGAGTAGAATTGCATGTGGTAACTCTATGTTTAATTTTTTGAGTAATTGCCAGGCTGTTTTATAAAGCAGCTGCACCATAGAATTTTTATTTCCAAGAGGAAAATGAGTCACAAACAGCCCTTCCTTAGGGCTTGCCCTACCGATTTCAGACTTGCCTTGCCAGCCTCTACTGTTGTGTACCAACCAACTCCAGGCAATACATTTCTTCATATGTATCTCTTGCTGATTCTGTTTCTCAGGTTAACAAGCCCATACTCCTGTGTAACTGAACCCTTTTAAAAAATCCAGTACCTGGAAAGTTCCTGCACGCTCCTTCCCTGTCAGTGCTCATTACAATCTGGCCCCAGAAGCAAACACTATTCTAATTTTATTTACCATCCATTAGTTTTACCTGCTGTAGAATTTCATGTAACCGAAAGGATATGATATGTGATAGGAAACCTTGCGTAAGGTTGCTTTCATTCAGCGTAATATTTTTGAGACTTACTGTTTCATGTATCAGTAGTTTACTTTTTATTGATGAGTAGATTTTTATCATTAAAATCATACCATTTGTTTCTTCATTATTTTGTTCATGAATACCTGGGTATTTTAGTTTGCTCAGGCTGCCATAACAAAGTACTACAGGCTTGGTGGTTTAACAACCAAAATTAATTTCTTTTCTTTTCTTTTTTTTTTTGAGACAGTCTCTCATTCTGTCACCCAGACTGGAGTGCAATGGCGCGATCTCAGCTCACTGCACTCTGCCTTCTGGGTTCAGGCAATTCTCCTGCTTCAGCCTCCCGAGCAGCTGGGATTATAGACATGGGCAATCTTTGTATTTTTAGTAGAGATGGGGTTTCCCCATGTTGACCAGGCTGGTCTTGAACTCTTGACCTTATGATCCGCCCACCTTGGCCTCCCAAAGTGCTGGGATTACAGGCATGAGCCATCGCACCTGGCCTGAAATTAATTTCTCATAGTTCTGGAGGTTGTAAGTCCAAGATTAAGCTGCCAGTGGGGTTGGATTCCTCTGAGGACTCTCTCCTTGGTTGCAGTTGGCCACCTTCTTGCTGTGTCCTCACATGCTCTTTCTTAGGTGTGCACACACCCATGAGGTTCTCTCTCTGGGTGTTTGTAATTTCCTCTTCTTAAAAGGGCACCAATCAGATCGCATTAAGTCTCACTCTAACAACCTCATTTTAACTTAATTGCTTCTTTAAAGGCCCTATCTTCAAACACAGTCAGTACCATTCTAAGGTACCAGGGGTCAGGATTTCAATATATGAATTTGGGGGGATGCAGTTCAGTTGATAGCACCACACTGTTTCCAGTTTGGAGCTGTTATGAATCAAGCTGTTCTGAAATTCCCGTTCACCTTTTTATGGACCGATGTTTTTGGTTCTCTGAGTAAACACCCAGGAGTGTTAAGTCTTTTGAGAAGTGGTCAGACCTTCTACTAAAGTGGTAGTGCCATGTGTGCTCCCATTTGGCGTTGTCAGTCTTTTTAATTTTAGCTATAGACAGGCTGGATATCCGGCAGCGATAGTAACCGAATTGGCCTTGGTGAGAGGGAGACCATGTTGTTGAGTTCATGAATGGTCTCCTTGTGTCATTTGTTGCAGGAGCATTGCACCAGCACTGGTGACCAAGGAGAGGCTCAGGTGTACATTCTCTGATGAGCATTAACTCGAGGCACTATGGTATGCTCCATTTGTGCCACCAGCATGGGTCCATCCTCAGACTTCTTTGCCTCCGGTCTTTCCATCATATTCTTTCCAATCCCAAGACATTTCTTACTAAGGCTCCAGGTGTCCTTGTACTTCAGGCCAACTCTCCCTCTCAGGTGTATGACATTTCCTATCATTTGGTGGATTGTTGCTCTGCCCACCTGACCTTAACATTCAGTGACT